GAACTTTTTTTTAACCTAAGATGACCTAAGGTTAAAAAAAGAGCAGGAAAGTTTTTTTTTCCTGTTCTTATCTTGGATTTTTGTTCTCAAGTAGAAGCAAAATTTAGCAAACGGAGCTGTTCTTAAGTGGAATTGTTCTTAAGTAGGGACGTTCTTAAGTAGAGACCCCACTGTAAAACAGTACTATTGAGGTGTAAGTATCAACATTGTTCTCCTCAAACGGTGCTCATTCAGTGCTCCTAAAGCAATGTTGAAGTTGCTCAGATGCACCCACTGACCGCACTTGTATTTCTCTAGTTGATACTCTGATTCTGTTAACAAGAGGTCTGTATGATGGAATAAAAAACAGCGATATATGATCTGACTGTCCCAAACTAGACAATGGCTTTGTCTTATATCCATGCATGATGTTACTATATACCTGATCCAAGGTATTTCCCTCTCTAGTGGGACATGCTACGTACTGATAAAACTTAGGGAGGATAGTCTTTAAATTGGCTTGATTGAAATCCCCTGCTACCACCAGCACTCTATCTGGGTAGGCCTGCTGCTGTTTGCTGATAGCAGGTAACAAACAACTCATAGCTGTGGTTATGTTAGCATCAGGAGGTATACATATTGCAGTTATTATAACAACATTAAACTCATGAGGCAGGTAAAAGGGGCAGCATTTCACTGCCAAATACTCCAAATCAGGAGAATAGTGAATGTCCATTATTTTAATATCCATGCTCCAGTTATTGTTTGTGTAAACACAAACCCCTCCACCTCTGCTCTTCCCAGATTCAATAGTCCTGTCTGCTCGCTACAAAGGAGCATCTGCCCTCCAGCGAAGTTTCTGTCATTCCCTGCAACAGGGTGTCAGGAAAGGGGAAGCACTTGCTAATTCAAACTCATTTATTGTGCTACTGCACCCATGGGCAACTGGCCACATTATGAATCTCCATGTATCTACATGGTGCAAGCACAGCAGGTGGACTATCACTGTTCACACAACCATATGAACCCAGGTTGAACTTGTTGTGTGAAACCTATTTCCTGCCCTGTACTTGAACTGAGATCAAACCAGATTTTTGACATGCCAGCATGAAAGCTGTTTTCGGATGACTTTATAGCTGTAGTTATATATAACTCTGTACATGTAGATACAGATATATAAATGCACAGAAAATACAATGAAGATGAAATATAGATATAGATTATATAAATATAGATGTGTAAATATAATATAGACACAAAAGTTCCCCACAAAGCAACTAAATTTTCTGAGCACTTGCAGAATGTCAGGTTTGCAGTGAATATTCAAAGGTGAATTGGAAATTCTTCACGACAGAATGATAATTAATTGGCTTCATTTCAGATAAACTGTCACCTGTGGTTGAACTTAATGATGACGAGGGTTTCTCTCCTAGTCATAGGTGATGAGTCTCACTTTGCATGGCGGATTCTCTCTGCAAGAGAAAATGAAAACGGCTTGCTTAGTCATTTACACATCTGAATGACAGTACAGGGGAAAGTTCAAACAAAAGTCTGGTGTAACTAGATGGCTCACAACATATTCCCATTACACAGCTCTTCTGCAAAGGAAGGAATTTCCTTCGCTGACTCTTCAGAAATCTTCTACCTATCTTTTGAACGTGTTTTTTTTGAAAATTACCTGTTTACCTACAATGGTTTAATTCTGCTATCTTAAGCTTGGATAAGCAAGCAGGTATTAGAAGAAGGAAAGAGATGGGTGGTGGTGGTGGCGGCGGCAGCAGTGGCAGCCGGCTCGAGCAGCAGATTGTGGATGGTTCAGCCACCATCGTCTGCATTTTGCTGCTTCAAGCAAATGCCTCAGTTTGGTTGATAGTCAGGCTGGCCCTGCCTTGCTAGCATCTTTTACTGTTTGGTCTCATCTAACAGTGCCAGTCTTTGATAGGAATAGTCTGCAGCCGTCTACCTGCTAGGGAGCTCCCGGTTGCTTTAGTAATGGATTGCTGATGGGGCTGCCCTTGAAGGTGGTCAATAATATTTAATCAGTAAGCAATTAGAATTCTTGCTGGTCTGTTTAGATGGCAAGCAGTATTGCATCATTTCAGAAGGAACTACAGTGGCTGCTTACTCACTTCTCAGCCCAAGTCAAAATGCTTATGCGATTGTGGGCCTAAATCTCTGAAGGAACATCTCTCATATCAGCATTGCCTGTGCAATTCAGATCAGCAGAGAAGGCCCTTCCCTTTGTGCCTACCATAAAAGACACATACTTAACTCCTGACCAAAGAGACACCCATGGTGTTCTCACTGTGGAAGAGTTACCTGAAACCAACATTTATTATTTTGGATTCCAGGTGAAAACCTATTTACTGTATATGCTTATGCATTTTTATATTTTTAAATCTAAATGTGCCTTTCTTAATGGAAGCTGACAGTGGGCAAAATCCAGTGGTGTAACTTTACAATGGCATAACCCACATTTGGTGCTGGAAACATCTAATTTAGAGTCATGGAAAGCTGCCTATCCCACTCCCTTCAGCATCTGAAGCTCCCTTTTGCCCTGGGAAAGTCTCAGGATAGGGTACTCGAGACCTTTAAAAAAGGTACCCTAGGAAAACTCAGAACCGGAAAGGAAAGGATAGGATAGGAAGTTCTGTGATATACAAATGCTGAAAATGAACAAAGATTCTGTAACCTAGAGTGGCCTTGGCTGCCAGATGAGTGGTAAATAAATAAATAAATACATAAATAAATACATAAATACATACATAAATAAATTACCTGTCTGATTCTAGTCAATTGAAAGGGGTTCTGCTTTCTGGAGTCTTGTAAAGAATTCTAGTGGTGTCCCCCCCCCTTTCCTCATTTTTACTTCTATTCTACAACAGAGGATAATCTTTTGTATTGTTGTTTATAATGTTGTGGAATTTGTAAACCACTCAGAGTGGCTTTGTTAGCCAGATGGGCAGTATAGAAATAAAATAATAAATCAATAATAAATTCATAAACTGGTTGTTCCTCCACCCTGCCCTGGTCATGACTGTTTTTCTGAGCACTTTGAGCTGACAATACATAAATTCACCACTTGACTGTAGAATACGATGGTCTTGGATTAGTGCAAAACAATGATATTCTGATTTTCAAGCTAACTAGGTGTGGGCTGGATAGAACAACTGTGAGGTGGACATACAGTTGGCTACAGAATTGTACTCAGAGTGTGATGATTAATGGCTCCTTTTCAAACTAAGTGCAAGTAACAAGCGGGGTACCCTAGGGTTCAATTCTGGTTCCAATCCTCTTCAATATTTTTGTTAATAACCTGGATCAGGGGATACAGGGAATGCTAATTAAATTTGCAGATGAAACAAATTTGGGTGGAATAGCTAATAACATGGAAGACAAAAACAAAATTCAAAATGATCTGGATAGGCTAGAGTACTGGCCTGAAAGCATCATAGGCATCCTTCAGTCTCGAGAGACTATGGTAACATGCCTGAAAGCAACAGAATGAAATTTAATAAAGATGAGTGCAAAGTACTGCACCTAGGAAAAAGAAACGCCTGGCTCATCAAAGCTACAAGTGAGGAGGACCTTGGAATTCTCGTAGATCACAAGCTGAATATGAGCCAACAGTGTGATATGGCTGCAAAAAAGGAAATACTATTTTAGGATGCTATATCTTGTAGAAATATCATCTCCAAATCCTGTGAGATGCTATTCCATTCTATTCAGCACTGGTTAGGCCTCACCTTGAGTATTGTGTCTAGTTCTGGACACCACGCTTCAAGAAGGATGCTGACAAATTGGAACAAGTTCAGAGGAGAGCAACAAGGATGATCAGGGGGCTGGAAACCAAGCCCTATGAGGAAAGACTGAAAGAACTGAACATGTTTTACCTTGAGAAAAGAAGGCAGAGAGGTGATAGGATAGCATTTTTCAAATACTTGAAATGCTGTCATACAGAGGAGGGGCAGAATCTGTTCTCCATTATCCCAGAGTACGGGCTATGAAACAATGGGCTCAAGTTACAAGAAGCTAGATATTGGTTGAATATCTAACTGTTAGAGCAGTATGACAATAGAATCAATTACCTCAAGAGGTGGTGAGTGCTCCAACACTGGAGGCGTTCAAGAGGAATTTAGACAACCACCTAGCAGATATCCTTTGATATGTATTCCTGCGTAGAGTAGGGGGTTGGACTCAATGGCTTTATAGGCCTCTTCCAACTTCCTGATTCTATGATTCTATGAATCTAGTTCTTGCAGCACAAGGATAGTTCTGCTATTTCCAAGGGGCTTGTATGTAAGCCTGCTCTCACGGAATTTAGTGAATTTCACTGGTACCCTTTATTTTGTGTGTTATCAATCTGGTGACCACTACAAAAGTTGCATGGAAATGCCTCCCCCGCTCCCAGAAGTAGATATGAAAGTAGGTGGTTATTTATGAAAAAATAATATAACTAATCAGTAATGATTTCTCTTAACATTAAGGTGCGGTAGCTCTTTGACACTGAAAAAAAAACCATGAATGTCATATCTGTCAAACTGACCCCTTAACCACATGCATTGGCTTCTTTTCTTTCTGATGGTTTGCAAAGCTCATGTATCTGAGTCATTAACACATACACTTGGCAAGATGAGACTTTGAACCTGAATTTCCTGTCTTGCTTCTTGCTCCCCCACCACAAAGTGCTGAAGCAGTTTCAGAGTACTGTGTAAGGGGTTTCCTCTAAGTGGGGTAAGATGGGGTATGTGTGGAATTTTTTTCCTCTGCCCTCTTGTTAATGTGGGCATGCTTTCGAGGGAACCTCCTAGAACTGCAGGTTGGACACATAGCAAATCATTCATCATATGGAGAACCCAGTCACTTAAAGGAAACTTTAGATGCTGAGATCCCACAAACCAAACCTATTAATAAAAACCAGGCACACCGCTTATCTAACACCATCACTAGAAATGTGTGAAAAACGCGTAATTCTGATTAGTTAAAAAATTTAAGCGAGGCGGTATAAATATCACCACCCCAGAGAGGCTAGGATCAAACCTGCAGGTACAAAAGACAACCAAGTTACAATATCCTCGTTGGTCCTACTTCCAAATCTGTAACGAAGCAGTCTCTACCTGGGTTGAGAACAATGGCTTGGAAGATCTGTCTATTTGTCTTTTGGGCTATTGGTTGTTCCAGTGGACAAGATCACCCTCGTTCAACTTTTGCAGACATAAAAGAATCGATCACCCAGTTGCAAAAAGACTTTGTAAGTACACCGTCAGTTTGTTTTCTTCTTTTCTCCATTTACAGCTGTCAGTATTCTGGGGACAGCAAACTAGAACTGGGCATATAATGTCATGGACATAAACTTATAATTCATAACTCTTTTATAGAGTTTGGTACCCATCGGCTAGATGGCACAGAGTCTGCCCCTCTTGCCCATTCGTGAGAGTTTTGGAATATCCTCACATTTCATAAGACGATTTTATTTTAGCTGTGAGCTAGAAATGTAACATTGTTTCTGTAACCTGAAAAGAATTAAAAGAAAACTAGTGCTGATCCATTAATTGTTTGGTTTATAACTACAGTTCTTGGGGAGGAATTGACTGATTGAAGTGTTATGGGCAGAGATGGTTTTGACTTCAAGGACCTGGCATCCCTCTTGTAGTATTTTCATGGTTAGCACCAGGTCCCGACAACTTGGCTAGTACCTCTTCATACACCTATTTCCTTTAATGTGTAAGAGTCATTTCACTGGTGACAAGTTAAACTCTGGTGAGTTCCTAATGGAAGCACATTTGTTCCAAGGTTAGAGTTCAGTAAAGGGTGTTTAAGGAGGCTCTTTAGTTTGTGAGCTGCAGTCATGGAAGGGTCTCTAGCCAATATGTCTTCCCTGTGTTCAGCTTGAGAATGCAGTAGCGTTGTTTCCCATAGGTACACACCTCAGTTGGGCATTACTGAGAATGGGCTTGAATGTTACTCAGGGAGCATTGTGTTTGGCTGTATGTGCAGCTTCTGTGTTCATGTGGCTGGACTTCTTTAATGCTGAAGGAGAGCTTAAAAGATAGTCAAGGGGGATATGGCCTTCACATGTTGAATGCGAAAAGCAGTTCCACTTTTGAATGGGGTCATGGCAATACTTCCTAAGAAGAGGCAGAATAATAACAATAACAATAACAATAACAACAACAACAACAACAATAATAA